AAGTTAGATTGGGTTTTAGGTTTAACATTTATGTGATATAATTGTGAGAAACATTTAAGATATACAATTTATAAGGTTCAGTTATTCAGCATTTATTTGGTTTTGGGTGAGTAAGTGATCTTTGAGAAGAGACCTGAATTTATAAACAGGTAGTGTTTCTTTTATATTTACAGGTAATGAATTCCAGATTTTAGGGCCTTTTATGTTTACCTGGAGAGAGTTCCGGGGGTCAACGCCCCCGCGGCCCGGTCTGTGACCAGGCCTCCTGGTGGATCAGAGCCTGATCAACCAGGCTGTTGCTGCTGGCTGCACGCAAACCAACGTACGAGCCACAGCCCGGCTGATCCGGAACTGACTTTAGGTGCTTGTCCAGTGCCAGCTTGAAGACTGCCAGGGGTCTGTTGGTAATCCCCCTTATGTGTGCTGGGAGGCAGTTGAACAGTCTCGGGCCCCTGACACTTATTGTATGGTCTCTTAACGTGCTAGTGACACCCCTGCTTTTCATTGGGGGGATGGTGCATCGTCTGCCAAGTCTTTTGCTTTCGTAGTGAGTGATTTTCGTGCATTGAGTTTTTGCATAGTGTGAGATGGACACAAGGAACATCAAAGAGTGATCTGTGCCTTGTGTTATGGTCATGTGTTCTGTTGAGGTTGGCAAGGAGATGTTTGAGGGAGGGTTAATATCAGAGTTAAGTGTTCTATGTATGTAATAGGTGCAGTAATAAGTATGGATGTTTTGTATGGTGAGTAGGTTTAGTGTATGAATATTGGTGGAGTGTGCTGCCTGTAGTGAGAATTTGTTATCATTCTAACTGCAGCCTTTTGTTGGGTAATTAGTGGTCTGAGATGGTTAATTGTTGTTGAGCCCCATGCACAAATTCCATAGGTGAGATAGGGGTAAATAAGAGAGTGATATAGGGCCAGGAGGGCTGACTGTGGAACATAGTACCGTATCTTCGATAGTATGCCTACAGTCTTGGAAATTTTCTTAGAAATTTGTTGTATATGTGTATGAAATTTGAGTCTATTATCAAGGTGGATTCCTAAGAATTTTCCCTCTGTTAGCTTTGTGATAGGTGATAGGTGATATTGTGATAGGACCCCAATGGAAATGTCACTCTGTCTGACTTTTTTGGGTTATCCTAGGTTCTCTACACATATGCTGCTATGTATGATAATTCTGTAACTGTATTGTGTATACCTGAATAAATTTACTTACTTACTAATCCATTTATCATTATGTTAAGAGGTACATCTGTAGCTCTGTTACCAAACTGAATGAAGTAGGTTTTGTCAATGATTAGTGTAAGTTTGTTAGTCCTCATCCAGGTAGATATTTTCTGTAATTCGGTATTTACAGTATTGGCTAGCGTGACTGGGCTCGGGTGAGAGAAGACGTATGTAGTGTTGAAAACATTAGGACATGTTTCCTTAAGGTACCTGCTGTTTATGTTCGCCTGTTATGTAAAATAGGTACCTGGGTGTTAGTCGACTGGTGTGGGTCGTATCCTGAGACAAAACTGACCTAATTTGCCCGAAATACTGTGTTCATCAAGAACTGCAAGAAGCCCCTATCACGAGCCTTTTCCATCCTATGGAGAGGGAGCATGGACACGGGGGTCGTCCCTCAGTTACTAAAAACAACAGACATAGCCCCACTCCACAAAGGGGGCAGTAAAGCAACAGCAAAGAACTACAGACCAATAGCACTAACATCCCATATCATAAAAATCTTTGAAAGGGTCCTAAGAAGCAAGATCACCACCCATCTAGAAACCCATCAGTTACACAACCCAGGGCAACATGGGTTTAGAACAGGTCGCTCCTGTCTGTATCAACTACTGGATCACTACGACAAGGTCCTAAATGCACTAGAAGACAAAAAGAATGCAGATGTAATATATACAGACTTTGCAAAAGCTTTCGACAAGTGTGACCATGGCGTAATAGCGCACAAAATGCGCGCTAAAGGAATAACAGGAAAAGTCGGTCGATGGATCTATAATTTCCTCACTAACAGAACACAGAGAGTAGTCGTCAACAGAGTAAAGTCCGAGCAGCTACGGTGAAAAGCTCTGTTCCACAAGGCACAGTACTAGCTCCCATCTTGTTCCTCATCCTCATATCCGACATAGACAAGGATGTCAGCCACAGCACCGTGTCTTCCTTTGCAGATGACACCCGAATCTGCATGACAGTGTCTTCCATTGCAGACACTGCAAGGCTCCAGGCGGACATCAACCAAATCTTTCAGTGGGCTGCAGAAAACAATATGAAGTTCAACGATGAGAAATTTCAATTACTCAGATATGGTAAACATGAGGAAATTAAATCTTCATCAGAGTACAAAACAAATTCTGGCCACAAAATAGAGCGAAACACCAACGTCAAAGACCTGGGAGTGATTATGTCGGAGGATCTCAACTTCAAGGACCATAACATTGTATCAATCGCATCTGCTAGAAAAATGACAGGATGGATAATGAGAACCTTCAAAACTAGGGAGGCCAAGCCCATGATGACACTCTTCAGGTCACTTGTTCTATCTAGGCTGGAATATTGCTGCACTCTGACAGCACCTTTCAAGGCAGGTGAAATTGCCGACCTAGAAAATGTACAGAGAACTTTCACGGCGCGCATAACGGAGATAAAACACCTCAATTACTGGGAGCGCTTGAGGTTTCTAAACCTGTATTCCCTGGAACGCAGGAGGGAGAGATACATGATTATATACACCTGGAAAATCCTAGAGGGGCTAGTACCGAACTTGCACACGAAAATCACTCACTACGAAAGCAAAAGACTTGGCAGACGATGCACCATCCCCCCAATGAAAAGCAGGGGTGTCACTAGCACGTTAAGAGACCATACAATAAGTGTCAGGGGCCCGAGACTGTTCAACTGCCTCCCAGCACACATAAGGGGGATTACCAACAGACCCCTGGCAGTCTTCAAGCTGGCACTGGACAAGCACCTAAAGTCAGTTCCTGATCAGCCGGGCTGTGGCTCGTACGTTGGTTTGCGTGCAGCCAGCAGCAACAGCCTGGTTGATCAGGCGCTGATCCACCAGGAGGCCTGGTCACAGACCGGGCCGCGGGGGCGTTGACCCCCGAAACTCTCTCCAGGTAAACTCCAGGTAAATAACAAGCTGCTTTCTATATAGTAGTATGTCACTGATATCAACTAGGATTGTATACCTTGTACATGTACTTGTAGAAATAAATATTATTATTATTATTATTATTATTATTATTATTATTATTATTATTATTATTATTATTATTTTTATTAATATGCTGCCTCAGCGGCTAATTTATTGCGCGCTCCACACTCATACTGTGAGCGACAGTGGAAAAAAAAAAACAGGATTTCAGAGATCACAATGGGTTTTTGTCAGACACAACTGGGCATTACGAAGATTCATTGTGACCATACCCCTGCCGGGATTGAACCCGCGGTCAGAGAGTCTCAAAACTCCAGCCCGGCCGGGGTATGGTTTGTTTGCAATCGTGTCATTACGATTTCGTGAGTCATTCATTGTGACCTCTGTAATCCTGTTTTTTATTATTTGGACATAGCATGAACCAGTTCAAGAAGAGTGCCAAAAGGTGTCTGATGAATATAGCTACAGAAAGGGAGGGGGAATGATTTTCTATTTTTTAGCTAACATAAGTGTAAATTTTTACCTTATTCCTAGTAATGACCCTCGTTTGTAGATAGTATTAATGACCCTCGTGCAGTAGACAGTCTTTTTAGTATGATAATAAGATGTTATCTTCATTATAGAATAATAAGAAAATATTATAACCTTTATATTATAATAATAAGGTAAAAGGACCCCAATTGAAATAAGTCACTCTGTCTGACTTTTTTGGGTTATCCCAGGTTCTTTACACATATGCTGCTATGTACGATAATTCTATGTAACTGTATTTGTGTATACCTGAATAAACTTACTTACTTACATCCCTGGACACCGGGAGGGCGGGTTCGATACGGCGCAAGTTAGGGTGGCAATAAACTCTTTCCATTCCTATTCTGTTCCTATTTTCTATGTATGTTTGTAAGAAATAAATATTTTATTTTACTTTTTACATATTTATTTTACTTACATTGCCAGGCCTTGGGCGATTGACACAATCCCAGACACAAAATTCTCTATGACATTCCCCGTGTCCGGCTAAACCTTTACAAAAATTCGATGGACATAAAAGGGTTTAAAATCCGGAACTCCCGCCTGAAAACTCTAGAACCGCAGATTCAACCACCATTTTCAAAACTACCGTTAAAAAACATCTCATCTCTCTAACACACTCCATCATCAGCTAACCAAATGAAAACCACCTAATTCTCTTTTTGTATCATGTACACATCAAAAACATCATAGTCTTACTCTCGTTATCTGTAATTCTCCCCTAATTTACACTTATACCCACCCAAATGACTGCAAACATAAAATTCCTATGAAATCTTAAGTTAGTCCTAAGTTTGCCTAAGATAATTAGGAATGTATCTAATTATGTATGTATCTAATAATGTATGTTCAAATATACTGCTCCATAACCTATATCAATATAGCGTAATAATTAGTATTAGTCTGCCCGAAATGCCTAGGTATGCTAGTGGCCTTCTTTATAATTAATATTTTATAACATGTAAACCACACATTGTAAACTTTACAAGGAAATAAAGATTTTGATTTTGATTTGATTTTTGATATATTTTCCGTGAGCACCGAGAGACAGAGCTTGATACGGCGCAAGTTGTAGTCGATCTATAAACCCCCAACAAGGTATTATCCATCTATAAAAACTATTTTCAGAGGACTTCTACGTCAGCCTTCATCGGGTGTGGACGTCTGTCACTCGCCTGGGTATCGGTGATAAATTTCTCCCGTCTGTATGGGACACTTGTCCTCGTCTGTTGTGCCCGGTGGGCACTACAGGAGGGGCACCTGGTCATCGTCTTGTAGCAAGCTACATTTTTTTTTTTTCCTCTCTGCGGATAATTCTTTAATGGTCTTTGGTGGGACGCCGGTTACTGAATTCGGGTGGGGGTGTGGGTGTCCCTCTCTGCTGGGGCTTGACAAGGGCGTCCACCGTATCTGTGAAGGGCTCATGATCAAAGTAAATGGAGCTACACTCATTCCATGGATCAAAACTAATTAGCTCACACTCTCCAGGTGTTGTTTGTTCTCTCAGGGTGAGAATTATTATTATTATAATCAAGGGGGAAGCGCTAAACCCGGAGGATTATACAGCGCCTGGGGGGGGATGTGGAAGGCATTCAGGCTTAATTCGGGAAACTGGAGCACAGATCCAATTCCCTAAATCAAGAGCCCCTCGCCAACATCAAGGAACCTTCCTTGAGGGGTCAGAGTGAGAAGAATCCTTCCTCTGTAAGCCATGCAGGTTGTAAGAGGCGACTTAATTAAGTGCTGGGAGCAATAATAATAATTAAAATAATATTTATTTCTGCAAGTACATGATACAGCATATTGCAGACTATTGCGGTACACTAACTGCATCTTTCAAGGCAGGTGAAATTGTCCTGGAGAAGGTACAGAGAACCTTCACGGCATATGTAAGTACGATAAAACTCTTAAATTGCTGGGAACAGCTGAAGTTCCTTGATTTGTATTCCCTGGAATGCAGGCGAGAAAGATACTTGGAAAATTCTAGAGGGATTAGTACCAATATGCACATAAAAATCACTCCCTACAAAACCATAAGACTTGACAGGAGATTCAACATTCCCCCAATGAAAAGCCAGGATGCCACGAGTATTCTAAAAGACAATGCAATAAGTGTCAGGAGCCCAAAACTGTTCAACTGCCTCCCAGCATACATAAGGGAGATTACCAATAGACCCCTGACTGTCTTCAAGAAAGTGCTAGAAAGGCACCTAAAGTTGGTACCTAACCAGCTGGGCTGTGGTTGGTATGTTGGTTTGCATGCTGCCAGCAGTAACAGCCTGGTTGATCAGGCCTGATCCACCACAAGGCCTGGTCACAGACTAGGCCGTGGGAGCATCGACCCCCGAAACCCTCTCCAGGTATAGACAATATGTTAACTTTGTCCCCAGGATGCAACCCACACCAGTCAACAAACACCCAGGTACCTGACAGGTGAACATAGACAACAGGTGTCTTCAGGAAACATGTCCAGATGTTTTCAGTTGTTTCCACCTGTACTAGGGATCAAACCACAGACCTCAATGTGTGAGATGAGTGTGCTAGCAACTGAGCTACAGGACACATGTAACCCCTTCTGTAAGAATTACTAAAAAGAGGAAGAAAAACTTTATAAAGATGGGATGTTTGAATGTGCATTGATGTAGTGCAGATGATGAGACAGAGATGGTTGCCTGTGTTATGAATGGAAAGAAGTTGGATGTCCTAGCTCTAATTGAAACAAAGGTGAAGGGGTAGGAGAGTTTCAGTGGGGAGAAATAAATGGGATTAAGTCATGAGTATCTGAGAGAGTGAGAGCTAAGGAAAGGGTAGCAATAATGTTGAAGGATCAGTTATGGCAGGAGAAGAACTATAAATGTATAAAAGTAAATTATTAAAAAAAAAAAAAAAGGCTAACATTAACTTACACCAAAGGCCATACTCTGATGATACTCATACACCTACACTGACATTCCACTTTTATGCACTACAGTGACACCTTTATGTTTCTTAACAATCAGGTATATATACATTTATTACTTCATTGTTCCTTCCTGGCTGACAGGTGATTCTCCCTCAAGGGAGGTTCCTTGACACTGGTGAGGGGCTCTTGATCTAGGGAATTGGATCTGTGCTCCAGCTACCTGCACTGAGCTTGAATGCCTTCCATTCTCCCCCACCCAAAGGTTTAGTGCTCCACCATGATTATGATAATTATTATAATGACAGGTGACCATGTGTCACAACATCAAAAAAAGTGTGCCTCTGGCCTAATGATTTTTATATTAGTCACTCAGTGGCCATTAAGTCCTACAAAGAAAGGAAAGATTCACTACAGCACATACACTAGCCCCCTACTACACACTGCTCCAGTGTTCCATAATTTCTGCATGTAATCCCCATGACTCTGAAGGCTTCATATGACCAAATTACAACAATAAGATATTTTGCTAAGAACTAATCTTATTGCAGCTATATATTTTATCTTAATTTTTTTCCAGGTTTGCACAGTCTTTCAGAGTATGGCACACCTAACATCAGCAATTAGAGTGGTGGCATCTGCCCGTACTGCTGCCCATTTAGGTGAGACTATCCATAAATACAGGTACAACACTTGTTTTCTGCCACCCTTAGTTCCTAGGCTTTGCTGGTAGTATGTTCATTTTACCAGACCAACAGAGGTCACTGAATAATGCAACAATATACAGTGGTCCCTTGTAGTTCGTAATTAATCCGTTCCTGGAGCCGTTACTATAAACTAAATTTACGATTTACGAATCAATTTTCGCCATAAGAAATAATGTAAATACAATTAATCCGTTCCTGATACCCAGAAGTATTAAAATTTTTTTTTTTTAACATGAAATATACATGTAGTACATAAACAATACAATGGGAAATGATGAATGAAACATTAACAGCATAACACTTACCTTTATTGGAGATTCTTCTTAGTGTATGGGAGACTGGAGGAGAGAGAGTGGATTGTTTATAGTTTGGAAGGGGAATCCCCTTCCATCAACACCTCAGGTACCATTTGCTTTTCTGGGGTTGCTTCTCTTCTCTGTTTCTTAATGCCACTAGGACCACCTTGAGAGTCACTGGAGTCCTGTCTCACAAAATAACTGTGGAGAGAGCTCTGTTTCTGGCATCTCTTTAACACTTCCCTAAAATGGCCCAAGACTTTGTCTCTGTACATGTTGCCAACCTGGCTTGCAACAACCTTGTTAGGGTGATGTTTCTCCATAAAGCTTTCAATCTTACCCCACATAGTAAAAATCTCTTTAAATTTTCTGAAGAAGGCACCTTCTTCCATCTCTCTTCCTCCTCCTCTGCAGCAAGATTCTGAGCTGCGATGTGTTGCTCTTCCTGCTGAAGCTCTTGCAGCTCCTCAGTGGTGAGCTCTTCATTGTGGTCTTCCACCAATTCTTCCACATCCTCCAAACTCACATCCAACCCCATGGAACTCCCCAGTGGCATAATTGATTTTACAACAGACATAGGCTCATTAGGGTCAGTCCCAAATCCTTCAAAATCCCTCTTGTCGACACAATCTGCCACAGTTTTCTCCAGGCAGAGTTCAAAATCCTGGTATCACTCCCTCCCAAGCCATACCTATAAGGGTTATGCAGTGGAGGATGCTGAAGTGTTCTCTCCAAAATTCCCTTAGGTCAAGTGAGTGTCTGTGGTCACAGTCAAGCACCTGTGAAACATTGCTTTGTGTAGAGTTTTTTTAAAGTTTGCAATAACCTGCTGGTCCATGGACTTGGGGGAAGGAGTGTATTCGGGGCAAGAACTTTACTGTGATGAACCCAAACTCCTCGAAAATTAGTCATCCAGTTTGGAGGATGACAGGTGCATTGTCCATACTAGCAGGCACTTGAGATCCATTTCTTTTCCAGGAATACTCCTCACACTAGGGCAAACACTTCATTGAATCACTCGACGGAAATTTCCCTCGTGACCCATGCCTTACTATTAGATTTCCAAAACACACACAATTTACTCTTCATAACATTGTTTTTCCTGAACCTGGGATTTCAGAATGGTACACTATTATGGCTTCACTTTGAAATCCTCACTAGCATTAGCACAGAACATTAGCGTCACCCTGTCTTTCACAGGCTTGTGTCCTGGCATTGCCTTTTCCTCTTGTGTAATGAAGGTCCTCTTTGGCATTTTCTTCCAAAAGAGGCCTGTTTTGTCACAATTGAACACTTGTTCAGGTTTCAGTCCTTCAGCCTCTATGTACTCCTGGAATTCATGCACATATTTTTCAGCCGCCTTGTGGTCCGAACTGGCAACCTCACCATGCCTTACCACACTGTGTATGCCAGTACGGTTCTTAAATCTCTCAAACCAGCCTTTGCTGGCCTTAAATTCACTCACTTCACCACTATTTGCAGGCAATTTCTTTACCAAATCTTCATGCAACTGCCTAGCCTTTTCACAAATAAACTAAGTCATAAGAGTATCTCCTGCTAATTGTTTGTCATTTATCACACCAATAATAACTTCTCAACCTCTTCCAGTACTGGTGATCTCATTTTTGTCAGCATAGTTACTCCCTTTGCAACAACAGTATCCTTTATTTAATTTTTCTTGGCCACTATGGAACATAAGGTTGTGTAGGGTTTCTTATACATCCTGGACAGTTCGGCCACACTTGTACCACTTTCATATTGTTCAATGGTGATTTTCTTAAATTCAATCGTATTTCTCACCTTCTTTGCCACAGGCTTGGCACTAGGAGCTTTCTTTGGAGCCATGGTAGCTTATTTAGTACTTACAAGCACTAAAATAAATGGAATATTATGAAATATTTTGCTGGAGCACGTGAGGGGACCTTCGCTCACTGGTAAACAATGCCAGACTGGCTGCCGCCCTGGCTCACGCCATGGGTACGCGTCCCGGACGAACTACGACTCGTGAGTCAACCTATGAAAAGCGAGTCCATGTTTATACGAAAACACCCCTATGATTGGCGAATTTTATGATTGCCGGGAACTACGAAAAGCGAGGGACCACTGTACCTCTGACCCACCATTTTCTGCTGGAAACTTGAATTAAACATTAGCATAAATCCATTGCTAGTAAATTGGTGTTGTACTGTATTGTGTATGCTGATGCCTTGCAATCAATCTCCATTTTTCCATACATACATGTATTATATTTTTCATAATTAAAGTAACAAAATGTGTTCAGGTTCTCTTTTGTATTTTGTGAAGCTTACTCATAAGCCTCACAAAAATATATTATGCACTACACTTTTTTAAAATCTTCCAATACAAATTAAAAATCACAATTTTGTAATGCTACAGTGGTTATACACAAATAACCCGCACATAGTAGAGAGAGCTTACAACGACATGAACCTCTCTTTACTCCATTTAACGTATTATTTTGTCACCATAAAAGTATATGCAAGAATTTAAATCTTTTAGAAACAATTATTCTTCAAATATTTCTATATACACCTACCATCCGACTTACGACCAAGTTCGGTTCCGAGAAACCGGTCGTAAGTCGAAATGGTCATAAGTCGAACTTTACTACTGAATATCAACAAAACATTTTTGTAATGACTTTATTTTATTGTTTTATTTTGGTATTTCACGTTTTACTTTACTTTTTATGCTGTTAGTACTGTATTTTATACTGTAAGGGTTAGGATAAACACTTTGTACAACACAAATAGTTGTTTCCCAGAAATTTGGCATAAAAAACACGGTCATAAGTCGAGTGGTCGTAAGTCGAGCAGGTCATAAGTCGGATGGTAGGTGTACATTTCAGTAATTACTGATACATTTGTATCCTGTCATGTAATATCATGATACTTAGTATTTAACCCTTTGGGGGTTTCGGTCGTACTAGTACGGCTTACGACCCAGGGTTTTTGACGTACTAGTATGCCTAAATTCTAGCGCCCTCAAATCTAGTGGGAGAAAGCTGGTAGGCCTACATATGAAAGAATGGGTCTATGTGGTCATTGTGCACAGTATAAAAAAAATCCTGCAGCACACAGTGCATAATGAGAAAAAAAAAAACTTTGAGCGTGTTTTTGGAATAAAACAGCGACTTTGCACTGTATTTTCGTATGGTATTTATTGTTGTATTCTAGTTTTCTCGGTCTCATTTTATAGAATGGAAGATATTTTACAGAAATTGAGATGATTTTGACTGGTTTTACAATGAAAAGTACCTTGAAATTGAGCTCAAATTAGCAGAAATGTTCGATTTTTACCAAAGTTCAAAAGTAAACAAATCATGCCAAGCGTTCAATACACGTCAACTGGTGAGTCTAATATTCTTTCACAAGTGTGCTGATATTATTTATACCATTTCTACACTAATGCAGTAGTCTGCATAACAGTAAATCTTCTATTTTTTGTAAGAATAAAAATCGAAAATGGAAAGCCAAAGAAATATAAGAGGGGCCTGGGGATGTGACTAATGAACAGAGAACTTGTTATTTTAGTGCCAGGAATGTCTTTGTTTATTCTGGACCCTATTCGGAAATTGGCATCTTTTGAAATTTGTGTGAAATTGGCAAAATTGCTAAATTTTGACCACTTTATTGGATAGTTGAAATCGGTAAATGGGTGGTTTCTTGTACTTATTCGATACAAAAAACAGAGTTCTAGCGAAATAGTTATGATTTTTGTCGACTTGTACATTGGAATTGGCCAAAAATAGAGCTCAGTGGGCAAAATCGCCGATGCGTAAACATCGTTGAGACCGCTAACTTCGCGAGACCATAATTCCGTAAGTTCTCCATCAAATTTCATACTTTTGGTGTCATTATGATCAGGAAAATCTCTATCTTTTCATAAGAAAAAATATTTTTTTTTTTTTTGAAATTTGGCCGACCCTGAGAACAAGTCTTGGAGAGGGCCTGTCGACCCTCAAAGGGTTAATATGATTCATTTTGAAAGTGGTACTCATTGAAAATCACAAGTTGTACATTTTGTGGCCAGAATATTAATAAATTTTAAATTTAGACTTTGCAATAAGTATCATGGTAAAAAATAGATCCAGTGAATGATCATACAGAACCTTAAATTATAATAACATGACATTAGCAAGGCACTACAGTATTACATAGTAATTCATCTGTTATAATTTGGCCAGGATACAGTGTAAATTCTTTGAAGATCTCACCTGTCAGAAGCATGCCAAAATTCGAAGCAAAAGATGACTTAAATGAAAGTTTTCGTCACCTAGGAATATCTCCAGTGGAAGCTTCTATGTCTGCAACTTGTATAATGTCACCTACTGGTAGCTCACTTGTAGCACCACTGCACAACACTCAGGAATACAGGTGAGGCACAGTAGGATCTGGTATTGTATTGGAGATTGTCCCCTTCATGGAGAAGTGATGCTGGTGAAGGGCTCAATCCAGTGAACTGGAGCCATCCTCCTGCTCCTGGGGTCAGTTCCTCAGGTGCTGTATGACAATATGAATTTGCTGTTCCCCTTGATTATACTAAATAATAATAATAATAATAATAATAATAATTATTGGAGTTTTCTAACAAATGCAGGCAGTGAATATTTGGGACTTGTTTCTAGAGTTTCTCTACCCTTGCAACCTGACCTTTTCTTTTGATTGCCTGCTCAATCAGGCTGTTGTGGCCTGTTAAGCAATTCTTTACAGGATATCTGCAAAATAAGTTACACTCTTAGGTTTTGAATCATAAAAAAGTTTTTAAATAAAATGATAGCACAAAAGATGATTGTTTCTATATGTTCATTCTGCAGCTTGGCAACTGATAGATTTTAATTGGTTATTAAAGTGCCCGGTTTGTATGGTGAATATAGATGTGAATGACTTGGGGAATTTGTAAGCTGGCAACCTCTTGTATGTTTCTTTGTTGTGACATTTCATGTCTTAAAAAAAATAAGGAATGAAGTGGTTAATATGTTATAACATAAAATTACAAAATGTAGAAGAGAGAATAAAATAAATACCCTCTTTTAATACACTAGCCCCATCTTCCATCAAGGTAAAGTGATTCCCCCCTCAAAAAAAAAAAAAAAAAAAAAAAAAAAAAAAAAAAAAAGGTGACCCCGCAACAAAAAGAAATAAATTCACCTGCTGTAACACTCCTGCCCAAATAGTCAAAGGCAGTTGTGTGTGAATGAAAAAACTAATCTCTACATAAGATTTATCTTTGTTTTATTTATTTGTATTCTTCTCTAGACTTCCATCTTTGGTGAAGCCCATGAGCATCATTTTTCCAAATTTATACGATGGAGTGATATTGGAGAAGAGTCTTCCACCCAATCTTAATATTATGGAAAAAGTTGAGCCACTCACTGATGAATTAAAGGAAGCCCCATCAAACCAGGTAAAAGAATTTGGCCTATGGTACTGCATGTGAAATAATAATAGATAAGGTGTTAATGTGAAAATATCATTATTAAATTTCTTAATAAGGTCTGATACATTATTTAACCCTTTGACTGTTGAAAGGCCCAATCCTGAAGTGTCTCCTGGTGTCGCAAAATATTCGAAAAAAAAAAATTATTTTTTCTTATGAAAATGTTAAGATTATTTTTCTGATTGTTTTAGTCCCCAAAAAAATTTTTTCCCATCAGTACTTACCGAGATATAGAGTCCTGAAGTTTGCTGAAATTGATCTGCGAGCGGCAACAGCGGTGACTGCCGCTCACCCGGTAAACTTTGATTTACTTGTATTCGATGGTTTCTTGTTTTTTTCACTATTTTATTTTTTCACATAACTTTTGTGGCCTGTGAGACCAAATTATTGTGCAATGTTCAAATATACACTCGTTGAATGTAACACAATTATAGCAAAAACACTCGTATCATTATAATGTTGCTAAAACTTGTTTACACAAACAATGTAAACAAATGTTTATTACAATTGTTTTATAATATATATACATATGTACAATCACTGGACACTTTTCTAGAAGTGCTGCAGCTTGTGGAATTCTTTGAAACATGGGTATAAGCACAATGGTGTCTTACACTCCTCACACATAAAACGAGTGTCTCTGCGTTTTTGTGGGTGTTTTGTGGTATGTCCACAGACAAAATACCTCTTCTGAGCATTTTTCTTGGCAGTAGTAGCAGGCAGTGGTATGGGGTAGTGATCACCAGGCCTCAGACGAGAGGACATGTGTTGATAATTTCGTGGGCGCTGGTCTATTGCAGGTGTTGTTTCTTGGTACTTGAATATTATTTGTCTGATGACTGACAAACAAAATTCACCATATTTGGGTTTCTTCTTGGTCTTCAACTTATACATATTATAAGCATTCAGCATGGAAATGTCAAGAAGATGGAAAAACAGTTTTATGTACCACTTATAACTCTTGCGAACACAGTCAGCAAACCCAATCTGCATGTCACATTTGTCCACTAAGTGCATATTGAGGTTGTAATCCATCACAGCTGCAGGTTTTACAATGGGTTCATTGGTCTCTCTATTCTGCTTGCCAGTGTCTACCATTTCGTGTCAGTGAACTGATGTCAGCAGTGTGACATCACGTTTGTCATGCCACCGAAATGCCATGATGTCATTGGCAGCAAACACCTGCACTTCACCTCTACGACTGCCAGCATCGAACCTAGGGATATGTTTACGATTTCTATGCACTGTGCCACACACATCTGTCATGTTCACTCGCAAGAAATCACTGAGTATAGGGCTTGTGTACCAGTTGTCAGTATATAAAATATGCCCCTTACCAAGATATGGCTCTATCATTGTTCTAACCACATCACCAGATATACCCAGTAACTTCCTGGTATCTTCCATTGTTTTACCACCAGTGTACACAATTATATCCAAAACCAGACCAGTTTTGCAATCACACAGAACAAATAACTTTATACCAAAGCGTTTCCTCTTGCTTGGTATATACTGCTTGAATGAGAGTCTTCCTTTGAACAAAATCAAAGACTCGTCAATAACAAGCTTCCTGAAGGGATAAAAATACATACAGCACTTTTGTTTCAGGTACATAAACACACGTCTGATCTTATATAACCTGTTGCTTCTGTCAGGCCTGGTTTTGTCTGAAAAGTGTAACATACGTAACAGTAACACAAATCTATTCACTGGTATAATGTCACTGAAAGCAGGAGTTGAAATCAGGCGGTCTGTCGCCCAGTATGTGTTGACACTATGTTTATACACATGTGGCATAAGCATTATTGTGGCAAAGAACAGATACATCTCTGCCACAGTTGTGTCCTTCCACTGGTGTAGGCGTAATCTTGGTGACAGAATAGTGTTTGCCATGGTGTACTCATAGTATGTATTGCTTTCCCTGACAATAATGTCCATCAGGGGTTCATCGAAGAACAACTGAAAGCATTTCAGTTCAGTGGGATTGTTCCCAAGTGTACATGATGGCCGTATTCCACTTTGTCCTCCATCAAAGTCATGGGGATTGGGAACAAACTCGTCATCTTGCTGCCAATCCCAGATGCGGTCAGCTGGTGCGTTCTGGATATTGTAATGTGGTTGTGGGAGTGTGGGGTCGGGTGAGGCTGGTTGTAGTTGTGCAGAGTCAGCAGCGCAGGTAGTAGCGTGGCCCGCTGCTGGTGTCACATGACTCATGCCACCATCACTATCACCACCACCGCCTGCTGCCTCACTCACATCATTTATACCCATCGTAACAATATCGTCATCTTCACTATCAGGATGTGGTGTAGGGCCATGGGATGTGCTCTGAGATGTACTCCTTCCTCTTGGAAGAGCATATGGCACACTACCAGACCTCATGCGACGTCGTATATACTGCCGCTTCACTGGGGAATATTCACCCTCACTGTCACAACTAGAACTGCTTTCAATAACCTTGAAATCACTATCACTATCACTTGCACTGCTCACATCTGAGTCTTGTACATGGGCAAATAGTTTCCTCTTTCGTCCTGGTACAGGTGAACATGAACGAGCCGGCCCAGCACCAGAGGTGGAAGGTTGTGGGTCATCTGGGTTTTCATCACTAATTATGTTATCCTGGGTAATTTTTTCGGTCACACCCACTTCAGAACCAGGGAATTCCTTTCACTGACATTCATCACTGTTTGAGTACATTTGGGGAACAAAGACCTCCAATCCGCCGGGAGTGAGGAACTTCTTACCGGGGGCATGGTGAAAAATGGACTCCCAAGATGGCTTTCCCCCAATGCACCGCGGGTCCCAGTTTTTTTTTCACGGGGTGCACCCCGCCATGAGCCCCATTTTCTCTGTGTACCTCCCAGCCCTCCCGTTTTGATTTGAAGCCGCTAGAATTTTTTGCGTAAGATACGTCAAACAGGGTTTCCCATGATGTATTTACGACCGCGACAGTCAAAGGGTTAATTACAGGGGAAAACCTTGGTTTTCATTTCCCCTGGTTTCAGGGTTTAAAACAGTGGTTCTGCTGTATGAATGTGTCTGCCTGTGCCCACACAAAACCCCACCATTTGAGTCAGTCGGCTTTTTTTCTCGTCAGTAGGGGTGGAAAGGGGTGGTAGGGGGGGTGAGAGGGTAGTGGTTGTGGGGGGGGGTGAGGGCAGATGGTTGTGATGGGGGTGGGGTTGTGATTTTGGTAGGGGTGGTAGGATTTGGTAAGAGTGGTAGTGTTGTGGTAGAGGGGGTAGTGATTGTGGTAGTGATTGTGGTAGAGGGGGGGTGGGGTTGTGATGTGGTAGGGGTGGTGTATTGTGGTGGGGGTGGTAGTAATTGTGGTAGTGGTTGTGATTGGGGGGTGGGGTGGTAGTGGTTGTGATTGTGGTGAGGGGGTAGTGGTTGTGTTTGTGGAGAGGAGGGTGGGTTGTGATGGGGGAGAGGGTGGTTGGGGTTTGTGATTGGGGTAGGGGGGGTAGGGGGTTGTGATTGTGGTGAGGGGGGAAATGGTTTTTGATTGGGGAGAGGGTGGAAAAGGGTTGGTTTTGGGGTTTAGAGGGTGGTGGGTTGTGTTTGTGGTAGAGGGGGGTAGTGGTTGTGATTGTGGTAGGGGGTGGTTGTGGTTGTGATGGTGGAAAGGGGTTGGATGATGGTGGTGGAGGGTGGTAGTGGTTTGTGATGGTGGTAGGGGTGGTAGTGGTTGTGAGGTGGTAGAGATAACCTCTCCTCCCTCTCCCCTCCTCGCCGTCCCCCTCGCAAAAGGTTTCAAAAAAGGTAAATGATGTTAAATGTTCTTTACCCATTTCATTAGTCCTTTATATTTATTTCCATTGTTTTTGATTTTAAACTAAGTTATTTTTTTTTAAAAAAAGTTTTTTTTTTTTTTTTTTCAACAAGTGGGCCGTCTCCCCCCGAGGCGGGGGCCCCAAAAAAAAAGAAAAAAAAACCCAAAAAAAAAAATATTTTTCACATCTTTCAACACTTTCACCACACTCGCACTTACCCTTTTTTTTGCAGGGGGTGCTCAGAATACAACAGTCAGAAGATAAACATTAAAGTAAAAAACATACCCCTCCAAACTGCCAATACCCCAAACCCCCCCTTTAAAGGCGGGCCTTGTACTTCCCAAATTTCCAGGATCAAGTCCGACTATTGAAATAAGGGTTTTCCCCGAATCCCTTCACAAAAATTTACCTGCTCACACCCCAAACAGATCGTCAGGTCCCAAGTACCATTGTCTCCATTCATCCTATCTAACACGCTCAGCACGCTTGGGGGAAGTCCAAGCCCCTTACCCACAAAACCTCCTTTACCCCCTCTCCCCCCTTTCGGGACGACCCCTACCCCCCCTTCCTTTCCCCTATAGATTTATATGTTTTCCATGTATTTCTGTGACCCATTCTTTAAATGCCCAAACCCACCTCAAAACCCCTTTCTGCCCTCTGACTAAAACTTTTATTAACTCCCACCTTCTCCTAATTTCCCACTCCCCAAATTTTTTGCATAATATTTACACCACCATTGCCCTTAAACAGGGCATTCGTGCCTCCAACCGTCTTCGCTGCTGCTTTTCCACCCCAAACTTCACACCCATATAAAAAAGTGTTTGGGACTACAACTTTATACATTCCCCTTTTTTTGCCCTGATAACGTTTTTTTTTACTCCACATTACCTCAAGCACCCCTCACCCTTTTTTCCCCCCTCAATTCTAGATTAACCCACCCTTTATAAATCCATCCCCCGACACGTCAACTCCCCAAATATCTGAAAACTTCCTTTTCCAAAACTCCTCCCCCCAATTTGTTTCCAATTTTTTTTTTTATCTAAATCATTTGACACCCCCCATCACCTTACTCTTTTCTATGTTCCTTTCAACTTTTTACCTTTACACAATTCCCCCAAAATATCCCCTAACCTTTGCAATTTTTTTTTAGAATTCCCATAAAAACGTATCATCACAAAAAATACTGTGTCAATTCCCCCTTTTTTAATTTTATTCCCCCCTAAATTTTAAACCCCCCCTCTCCCCAAAAACATAGATTTTTTCTTCCTTTTAACCCCATCATAAATATATTAAACAACCAGGGACATTACACTCCCTGTTAAGACCTACTTTTCCGGGAAGTAGCCC